AACACTGGGGTACGGTACCGGTGGGGACAGGTCTGTCGCTGTATAACGTTGGGAGACGGTACCGGTGGGGACAGGTCTGTCGCTGTATAACGTTGGGAGATGGGACTGGTATCGGAGTGAAGTTGATTGAAGTAATGCTGTCCTGTTTTGTAACAACGCTTGATGACGAATTATGCTAATCCAGCCTCCTGTTTGTGCACAGTTGGTGTGGACAGTGCGGGAAGTTGTGAAGAATGCAGTGCTGGGAGCAGATGGAGTGTGTATGACGTTAATGAAGCAGATTGCTGGTGAGTTTCTGTTTGAGCAGGCATCAGATAGCCCACCCTCTTGCTGGCTGTCCTGTGCAATGCCTGGTTGTCTTCTGAATGATCTCTGCAAGTCAGGCTGAAACCTGACGTGACCCAACTTTATGTCTGAACACAAGTAGCAACTCATTTTCTTTCAGCATTTTCCCTCTGGCATTGTATCATTGTCCTTTTTCTCGCAAGTTGTTGCCTGAATTGTATGTTGGGTCCATGCCAGCACCTAGCTGAATGGAGAGAGAGAGAGAGAGAGAGAGGTTGTTGGAAGTACTCCAGTGAGAGGTCACAACCTGGACCCTCCACTCAGTTTCTCTCTCTTGTTTATTTGAGTTCCAGCAATTGTAGCATTTTGCTTTTAAATGAGCTGGCTTTCGTTCTGTCCGGTCCCTTTGCTATGTCTGTCTGTCACTCTGGCCTTTAACTACTCCTCAGACCTTCATGGCCATGGAGTAAGACATCCCCACACGTTGGCCCTCCCTCTCCCCAGGCACTGACACTCCCTTGCTCACTTGTCCTCTCTCTGGGCACCCCCTCTTTCCAGGCTACAGTCCCCCACCTCGCTGGCCTTTCCCTCTCCCCAGCCGCTGACACCCGCTCCCCCTTGTTGGCTCTGGTTTTCCATCTCCCCGGATGCTGATACTCTTTTGCTGGCTCCCCCCTCTTCACCAGTGCTGCCCACCTTGACCACATGAGCATTCATTCCCCATGGCTGCACAGATGCAACACACCATCGTGCTGGCTGTCCCACTCTCGATTCTAGACCATCGATGATTGATTAAGGAGTGTACTACCTGCATGGGACCGGAAGCAGATACAGCAGTCATGTTCGAAAGGCTGTTAGATAAATAGTCAGAGTGTGACTGATCAGAGCTTTGACGAAGGAGCTATCACAGGAGTGTTGGGTCAAATGGCCTCCTGTGCTATAAGAATGAGTGCCGGTCCCTGCATTAAACTCCCTCAGCAGCAACGTACACGTGATCAGGACGGTGATCTCTCTTGCGTTGTCTTTCCCTGCAGGCGGAGATGTGACTCCAAAGAATATCTGGCTGGCTGAAAATGTCCTTGAAATCCTCGTGGAACAAAGGTAGGAGCGAGGCGAGGGCTCTGCTACAGGGCCGTTGACACCGTGTGCCCAGAGAAGCGTGAATATAGCTGGGGCGAAACTGGAAAGAAATTACAGCAAGACAGTCGAGGGCAGAAAGCAGTCTGTTTAGACTAATGGGCTGCTTAAGTGTCATAGTCATACAGCACAGGAACAGACCTTTGGTCTAACTCGTCCATGCTGACCAAGTTAAGCAAACTAAACCTCTATGATTGTGTGACTCTAATTATAAATCATTGGCTTATAAGTCTAGCCATTAAAACGCTGACCCACATATAAATTTCCCTCATACACTGGCGCACATAGACGCTGATATAGACAGCAAACAAAACGCATGGACAGAGGGCGAAACTGAAAATACTGTCCACTAGTCTTTGCCGAGTTGGTTTTTGCTAATCAGGAAGTTTCTCTTCCAGCTTTAGTTTTGTGAATGCTTCAAGGATGGCTGACCCATTTGTAAAAGGTTTCGGGTGTATTCACTAAAGGTCACAGCTTAGTGCAATTCCTGAAGGAGAAATAAACTGGTTTTCTTTGAGCTTTGAGTTTTGACTGCAGAGAACAGAAAGACAGCTCCTGTCCAGCTGGAGATCTTATCGCGTCTCTGTATCTTTGTCAGCCCAAACCATCAGTTGCCTAAGACCCTATCATATGGCCCCTTCAAGGCCTTTGTCATCACAAGCTGGTGACCAGTCAGCATGTTGCCAACCGAAGCTCCATCTGTGCGCAGTTCTCCGACTCCAGTTCATCTGCAGAATTAATCTTCGGTTGCTGCCAGCGGTTCTCCCCTTGAGTGTCAGGTTACTTTTCAAAAACATGCAGCAACCCTGGCAAAACACTGGTTTTAAAAGGAGTGCTTTCTTGTTTCATTCTGTAATGTTGAAAAGCATTAAGAAAAGGAGGTTTTTACATTAGGCAGAGATGTAGGCTATTGGCAGGTATCATCTCATGATCCCGTTTAGTTTCACGTCAGGCATCTTGTTTAAAAAAAAAGGCCCGTGTGCAGAGGCAGTTCCTACTGGGAGAGGGGGAAGCTAAATGTATATCATGCTGGTGTGCTGATTATCTATCAAAAGCTGTTGGGTTGGGAGGTGAAAAAGGGGAGAGAGAGTTTGCTGATCCCAGGAAAGGCTCCATGAGGTTGGGAAATGCAGCAATGATTCCTGATCTGAGGGGAAGGGGGTCTGAGTCCTTGTCAGGAGCGAAGGAAGCGTGCGTGGGGAATGAGGCGGATGGTGTTGGCATGAAGGAGGCGGGCAGTATTGGCAGACCCCTCCCACCCTGGAACAGCTGAGACCGCGAGCTGTTTGCCTAGCTTTGTGTATCCCTGTTTTGTAATGGCCTCTTCTATACTGAGGAGCAGTTTTGTCTGTGACAGCTCTGACGTGGCGAGAATGTCACTGAGAAATTCATTTTGGGGAAGATGTCAGGAGTGAGGTGGTGGGTTTTTTTCCCCAATCCTTATAACTGGCCATCATTGATAATGATCTGCAGTCCATCCTTTTTATAGGTAAGACTGAGTGAATAGATACTTTGGGGATGTTATTACACGCCTCTGGTGCAGATGGCACTTGAACCCAGGCCTCCTGGTCCAGAGGTTAGGGACACAGCCGCTGCATCTCTAAAGCTCTCGGGCAGGATGCAGTGCTCCTGGTTTATGGTTTGGCCGGTGGGTGTTGGGAGGATGGCCTTTGTTGGAAGGTGCTGGCTTCCTCCGTGTGTACAGCTGCCTGAAGTGGTACCTGTCTTGCAGGGAGTGGGTGCTGAAGAGTAACATGCTGATCGCCATGATTGTTTACACCTACCTGCGGCTGATAGTGGATCACCATGGCACCCCACAGCTCCAGGCGCTCCGACAGAAGGAGGTGGACTTCTGTATGACGCTGCTCCGGGAAAAGGTGAGCCAGCAGAATCCCCCTGGAGGGGCTTCCTCGAGGTGCCATTGTGGGCCGGCAGGGAGAGGGGACTTATGCCAAAGGGAGTGGGTTCCGGGGTGCATGTGGAGGGGAGTGGGATACATCGAGTGACCCTCCTGTGGAAGGCATCAACTGTCCTGACTCCTTACACACCCTCCAATAAGTCCCGAAACAGTTCTGCATTGTCACTGGACAGGGCTGAGGAGCTGGACGAGGTTTGGCTATTGTTCATCTCTCTGCTGATTTCCCACAGCCTGTCCTCTTCTTCACCTGACTGATGGTACTGAGGCTCATTGTAACTTTCCTACACGTGGGCCCCTGAGCACCTAAAAATGCTGTGCACGAGGCTGCAATGTCTTAAGGCATTTTGGAAAGAGACCGCCCCCCCCCGCCCTCTTTTTCATTAATGTGTTAGCCCTGAAGATATGTTACACAGGAGCTGTCATTGCCCAGGGTCTCTAATGGTTTTGTCGGAGCGACTTTATGCCTTGGGGCTGTACCCAACCTAACCGTCTTCAGTCCAGCTCCTGAATGTCAGGTGCTGAGCCTCTGGAACACTCTCTGTCCGAACTGTCTGATCGCTAATCGCTTTCTTTTTCCAGTTCATGGACTGTACAATGATTGGCCGAGATCTGGTTCGACTACTTCAGAATGTTGCTAGGATACCAGAATTTGAGAAGTTATGGAGAGACATTCTACATAATCCTCAGGCCCTAAGCCCACAATTCACAGGTAGGTTACCAAGCCTGTGGGCAGTGACGCTTGCAATGACTTGGCATTTCACTGCCCACTCCTGTCAGAGGCGGGAATCCTTGGACAGTTAAACTGATGAGCAGCTATCCATTTATGACCACTGCTACCATTCTCCGGGATTTCAGTGAACTGTACCATACCCATGAGCACTGCCCCTGTGTGACCCCCTACAAGGCCCATGGCAGTCATTAACTAATCTCCCTCTGAAGCTTGCATATTATGAGTTCCAGTGGTAACAGGCAATGGCCTGCCCAGTTGGAACTCATTGCCTGAACCCTTTCAAAGCATACCTAGGGTTTTGGGTTCCTTTTCTCTGGATTTCCCTTTCCACTAAACTGCGTACTATCATTAAGGGTGAACCATCCCCGCAAAAAATATTTTCACCTGTATCTGGGTACAGTACTGGTAGGGGACAGGCCTGTCACTGTATAACACTTGGGTACAGTCCTGGTGGGGACAGGCCTGTCACTGTATAACACTGGGGTACAGTACTGACTAATGTCTTGATGTTTAATGGCATTACCTTCACTGAATCCCCCACTTTCAACATCCTGGGAGTTACCATTGACCAGTAACTGAACTGGGTGAGCGAATTAATACAGCGGTTACAAGAGCAAGTCAGAGGCTGGGAATCCTGTAGCAACTAACTCTCCTTATTCCCTAAAGCCTATCTGACATCGACAAGGCTCAAGTCAATAAAGGATTGGCTTCTTTCCCACTTATCTTGTTCAGCCTCGCTGTGGTAGTGCACTAGAAATCAAGTTCCACTATTCCCAGAGTTTTCACAATAGTTAGGGAATTTTGTGTAATTGAATAAAATCCTTAAGTTCCCTGTCTGTTAGACCCAGATTAATAGAAAGCACAGAGCAGATTTCTGTTCTTATTATAAATAAATAGATTCTAGCTACGTGTAAGCAGTTAGGAACTGAGAACCGGTAGCTCTGCTAGTTGTACACCCCACTCTGTACGTGTACACACAAACCGAAGAAATGGGTGTTATGGGTGGAGGGAAAGACTGCGAAGGCAGTTCAGTAGTCCCTGTTCACAGGCTTCACTGAGATGATCCTGTTGGAAGTTTTAGGCCAGTTGGCTTAACAACTGTCAGAGGGAAGATTTAGAATCTATGTTGATGAATAATAGCCTTTAACTGTTAAAGGTGTTTTGTCAGGCAAGTCTGTAGTTCTGTGAAAGAGAAATTGTGTTAAACCAATTTGTTGGAGTTCTTTGAAGAAGCAGCATAGGTTGTAGATAAAGGAGAACTGGTCAATGTATCCAGAAGACATTTTATAAGCTGTTATATCAAAAGGCTTTGTAGAAAATGATAGCTTGTGGTTTAGGAAATAACATATATTTGCATGGATAGGTGATTGGCTAGCCAACAGAAAACTGTAGATGTCGTTGCTTCTTTTTCTGATGGACAAGATGTAACTAGTGCGTGGAGGAAGCGTTTGGTACGCTTGCTTTTATTGGTCAGTGCATTGAGTATAGAAGTTGGGAGGTCATGTTGCGGCTGTACAGGACATTAGTTAGGCCGCGTTTGGAATACTGTGTGTAATTCTGGTCTCCCAGCTGTAGGAAGGGTGTGTGAAATTTGAAAGGGTTCAGAAAAGACTTACAAGGATGTTGCTGAGACTGGAGAACTTTCAGTTATATGGATAGGGTGAATAGGCTGGGGCTGTTTTCCCTGGAGCATTGGAGGCTGGGGAGGTGACCTTATAGAGACTTATAAAATCATGAGGGGCATGGAGAGGGTGAATAGCCAAGGTATTTTTCCCCAGGGTACAGGTGCCAAAACTAGAGGGCTTGAGTTTAAGGTGAGAAGGGAAAGATTTAAAAGGGACCTGAGGGGCAACTTTTTCATGCAGAGGGTGGTGTGTGTATGTAATGAGCTGCCAGAGGAAGTGGGGTAGGGGCTAGTACAGTTGCAGCATTTGAGGCATCTGGAGTTATATGAATAGGAAGAGTTTAGAGGGATATGGACCAAATGCTGGCAAATGGGACCAGATTAATTTAGGATATCTGGTTGGCATGGACAAGTTGGACCGAAGGGCCTGTTTCCATGCTGTGCATCTCTTATAACTGTATAACTTAGTGGTGTGCAACAGGGATCAGTGCTGGAGGCTGAACCTTTGCCCATTTATATAAATGAAGGGACTGGTGGTGTGCTTGTTAAACTTACTGATGAACACACAAGTTTAGGAGTTGTGAGGAGAACAGAAGGAGACCACAAATGGAGATAGACAGGTTAGCTGAGTGGACAAACATCTGGCAGCTGAAACAAAATGTGGGAAAATGTAAAATTGTCAGTTTGGCTGGAAACATGGAAAAGAAGGATATTATTTGAATGGTGAGAGATTGCAGAACTCTGCAATGCAGAGGGATCTGGGTGTTCTTGTGTATGAATCACAGAAGGCTAGCCTGCGAGTACAGCCCAAGTAATGGGGAAAGCTAATAGAATGTTATTGTTTATTGTGAAGGGGAATTGAATATAAAAGGCAGGAGGTTGTATTTGTTTTACAGGGCATTGGTAAGACCACAGCTGGAGAACAGTGTACAGTATTGGTGTCCTTGCTTAGGGAAGGATGTAAATGCATTGGGAGCAGTTCAGGGAAGGTTTACCAGACACATACCTGTGGGGAAAGGCTGGACAGACTCAGCCTGTATCCTCTGGAGTTTAGAAGAGTTAGAGGTGGCTTGATCGCAACACACAAGATCCTGAGGGGTAGTTGACCGGGTCGGTGCGGTGATGATTTTCTTGTGGGAGAGTCTAGAAATGAGGCTCACTGTTTAAAAATGAAGGGTCACCGTTTTGAGACAAAGCTAAGGAGAGTTTTATTTTGTGGAAGTTGAGTCTTTCGAACTCTTCCTGAATAGCTAGTGGTAAGCAGAGTCTTCAAATATTTTGAAAGCAGATTCTTGTGAAGCACAGGGGAAGTGAAAGGTTGTTGGGAGGTAGCTGGGAATGTATAGTAATCAGATCCGTTGTGGCAGGGCAGGCTGGAGCAGCCGCATGGTGGCCTCTCTGTCTGGTGTGAACCCCAGCTCCCTGCTCCAGGCTAATATCGGTGCTTTCCTTCTCTCCTGTTCCTCAGGCATTCTGCAGCTTCTACAGACTCGAACTTCACGCAAGTTTCTGGCATGCCGCTTGACGCCTGACATGGAGACCAAGCTGCTCTTCATGACATCCAGGGTAAGCTGGAGTCTTCAGTGTCCTTCGATCCAAGAACCACATGATTGTTCAGCCCATTGTGCCTGTGCTGACTGTTTGCATGGTCTATCCAAGCAGTCCCCATCTTCTCCTGTTTACACCCTGCAGCCTCTTTTTAAAGTTCCTATTGAATCTATTGAGGCAGTGTGTTCCAGATCTCGATGGCTCACTGCCTCAACAAAGTGCCCCTCTGGTTCTTTCGCCAATCACAACCTTGTGTCTCTCTGGCTACAGAAGGTCCTGCCAGTGTCAACAGTTTGTCCTTATCAGTTCTCGCACGATGCTTCCTTGGTTTCAACACCTCTGCCAGAATCCTGGGGTTTACCATCAACCAGAAACTGAACTAGATCAGCCATATAAATACAGGGGCTGCAAGGACAGGTCAAGCTGGGAATCCTGCAGTGAGTAACTCCCCTCCTGACTCCCCTGAGCCTGTCCACCAAGGCACATGCCTCATTGAATGCAGCTTCAACAACACTCCAAGCTCGACACCATCCAGGATAAAACAGCCCCCGCTTGATTGGCACCACATCCCCAAGCATCCACTCCCTCCACCACCGAAGTTCAGTAGCAGCAGCGTGTACCATCTATGAGATGCACTGCAGTGACTTATCAAGGCTTCTCAGGCAGTACCTTCCAAACTTGGGACCTCCAGCCACTAGAAGAACAAAGGGTAGCAGATACGTGGGAATGCCAGCATCCTGCAAAAGTTCTCCTCTGAGCCACTTACCAACCTGACTTGGACATGTATTGCTGTTCCTTCAGTGTCACTGGGTCAAATTCCTGGAGTTCCCTCCCTAACAACGTTGTGTTTATTTTTCTCCACCTCCATGGACTGCAGCAGTTTAAGAAGGCAGCTCACCATCGCCACCACCTGAAGGGTACTGAGGAGGTGGGCAATAAATCATGGCTGAGCCAGCACTGTCAATGTCCTGAAATAAAGATTAAATGTCCCCTTTAACGTGCTTGAAGGGCAACGGTCTGACCAGCTCCAGTCTGCCCAGATTAATTGAAGTCCCTCATCACTGGCTTCATTCCAGTAAATCTCTGTATCCTTGCCAAGATCTTGACATTGTTGTTAAAGTGTCCTGTTCCGGAATTGGACACCATACTCCAGCTGAGGCCCTGTTTCCAAACTGCCAGAAGCAAATATGTGATAATTACCAGGAATCTGCAATTTTTTTAGAATGACGTTTGAACATAACTTCTTTGTTTTTTTTTTTCTTCTCCCCCCCCCCCCACCCCACCGTCTCTTTTCGTGAACCCCAGGATCCTCTGTTTCCTTATGTTTGCTTGTGAGTACCTGTAGCTACTCTTTCATCTTGGGTTTGTTTTAAATTCATTCATGAATGTGAGTGTGCGCTGCATCAACAGCGCTCCAGAAGATTTACACCATCCAGGGCAAAGCAGCCCATTTGACTGATACCACATCCACTCTCTCTCTGCCACTGATGCTCAATAGCAGCAGTGTGTATCATCTACAAGATGCACTGCAGAAATTCACCAAAGATCCTTAGACAGCACCTTCCAAACCCACAACCACTTCCACTTTGAAGAACAAGGGCAGCAGATACATGGAAACAGCACCCCCTGCAAGTTCCCCTCCACACCACTCACCATCCTGACTTGGAAATAGATCGCCAGGTCGAAATCCTGGAATTCCCTCCCTAATGGCATTGTGGGTCAACCCACAGCACATGGACTGCAGCAATTCAAGAAGGCAGCTCACCCCCACCTTCTCAAGGGGTAACTAGGGAATAAACGCTGGCCCAGCCAACGATGCCCACATCCCATGAATGAATTCAAATAAAACCCTGATCTGGCTCAGGTTTTAAGCTTCAACCCTCCCGTTATTCTGCATCCCCTCCCTCCAGAGGGAATATTTTCTCTCTATTGATCCTGTGGGCTTTCGGTCAGAATACCTATAACCCTGTAATTCAAAGGGAATGTGAGCCTTGTTTACACAGCCTCTTGGCACTTAACCCTATGAGTTGTGTTGCATTGGAGTGGGCATTGCTGTAAGCTGAACAGTGGTATGTGGTAACTCTCGGGGTCCTCTTTATGTTGGCAGCCTCAATACTGTCAGGGATGTCTGGGCTTTTACAAGCTGCTGTGCTCCAGTGCATGGTAAGAAGAGCTGTGTATTGGAGAATGGTTGGTTGGTTGGTTGTTTGTTTTGAAATAGATCCAAATTATGAGATGTCTGAAATAACTTTGTGCTTTCGGTGATCCATTGCATCAATCTCAAGTTAACCGCACTGTACTGTGCTCTCCCCATCGTCCTTTATCATTCTCCAGACAACTCCTGTTGCCCCATGCTCTTCCCCCTAGCTCGGCGCCAATCCCCAAACTAATCCCACTGCCTCGCTCTCTCCCCATAGCCCTGTGTCAGTCTCCAAACTAATCCCAGCGCCCCACTCACTCCACATGCCCCTGTATCAATCCCAAACTAATCCCGCTGCCCTGTTCTCTCCCCATTGTCCTCTATCATTCCCTGGCCTGCTCCCACCCCATAACCCAGTATCGATCCCCAGACTAATTGCACTGCCCCGCTGTCTCCCCATAGCCCAGTATCGATCCCAAGTTACAACCACTTAGTATTTCATTGGTCACTAATGAGCCTTATTGGAAATGGAAGTGAAACATCTCTAGCATAGGCAGTAGTTAGTTGTGTTTTAAGGGGGAAGCTGGGTAACAACATGGAGGAGAATGGGATAGAACGACAGTGCTAATGTGAGATGAATTATGGAGGCTTGTGTGGATGGGCTTAATGGCCTGTTTCTGTCAATCAACTTATGTTCTTTTCCTCAACCACTCCCCCCTCTGTCCAAGTGTTTCCTTTTGACATTGTTTTCCTTACCCCTGTCCCTGCGTTCCATCTTTACTTCCTCAATTGCCGAACTCTCATCATGGTCCCTTGATCAGAAGATGAATAACTTTTCTCTTGTACCTCTTGCAATTCCCTTTCAAAGCTCTGTTTGGATTTATCCTGGACTCTTTCCCCCCCCACCTCTGTAGTCACGGCAGTGATATCTCAGGCTGTCTTTCTGTTTAATGGTAGGTTCGGTTTGGGCAGCAGAAGCGGTACCAGGACTGGTTTCAGCGTCAGTATCTCTCGACGCCTGATAGCCAGTCGCTACGTTGTGACCTTATCCGCTACATCTGCGGTGTTGTTCATCCATCCAATGAGGTGCTGAGCTCAGACATCCTCCCTCGATGGGCCATCATTGGCTGGTTACTGACCACGTGCACGGTGAGTAGCCACAGAGCAGCAATCCTAGATGTCCCAGCACGCCTTCCTGGAATCCAGTGCTTTTTTTTATTTCAAAAGTGTCGGAATGTGGGAAGCCAGTTTACACACAGTAGCATTCCGCAGCGAACGCTGTGGTAATGACTGTCTACTATGTTTGAGTGATGATTGTGGGAGTTGTAAACCAGCCCTTTCCTTGGAGCACAGGGATGCAGGATGTTTCATATCCCATCCCGCATTCCCTCTCAATCGTTCCCTCTTCTGTGTGTGGCAACGACAGCCAAAAGCTGGAGTTGGTGCTGGCAGTGGTGACATTGTCAAGCACTGGCACTTCAAGTGGCTGTGGGGTCTCCTGCAAACAACAGTAACATCCTCCCCACACCCTGTCATCACCACGCCTGTGCCTGAGCATGCTTACTGAGCACTCATCGAACAGTCACCGAGCACAGGGACCTTGGGGTGCAGGCTCTCCGTCACAGGTAGGCAGGACAGTGAAGAAGGCATTTGGTCGTTTGCCTTTATTGGTCAGTGCATTAACCATAGGATTTGGGAGGCTGGGTTGTGGTTATACAGGGCATTGGTTAGGCCCCTTTTGGAATACTGCATTCAGTTCTGGTCTCGCTGCTATAGTAAAGACGTTGTGAAACTTGAAAGCGTTCAGAAAAAGATGTTGCCAGGGTTGGAGGGTTTGAGCTATAGGGAAGGGCTGAATAGGCTGGGGCTACTTTCCCTTGAGAGTCAGGCTGAGGGGTGACCCTATAGAGGTTTATAAAATCATGAGGGATATGGATAGGGGTGAATGGCCAAGGTCTGTCTTCCCAGGGGTAGGGGAGTCCAAAACTAGAGGGCTTGGGTTTAGGGTGAGAGGGGTAAGAGTCAGAAGGGGCCTAAGGGGTAACTATTTCACGCAGAGGGTGGTGTGTGTATGGAACGAGCTGCCAGGGGAGGTGGTGGAGGCTGGTACAAATACACCATTTCAAAGGCACCGGGATGGGTACATGAATAGGAAGGATTTAGAGGGATATGGGCCAAATGCTGGCAAATGGGACTAAATGAATTTAGATATCCAGTCGGCATGGACGAGTTAGCCCGAAGGTTCAGTTTCTGTGATGTACATCTCTATGACCACACTCTGGAAGCACCTGTGAAGCAGTGGGGAGGTGTTGGTACCTGCTGAGAATGGCAGATGAGCTGTCGGTGCCCAACCCTTTCCTTTCTGGGGCTCAAAATTCTGTGACAGGAAAGGAATTCACTTCAGGCCAGCATTCAGTTCCAAGAGGTAATCTCGAATAATAAAAGAATCTGATCTGTGTGTGTGGGCGAGTTGCATCCTGTGATCTCTGTGCACTTTGGTTATCCATTGGGGTGCTAATTAAAACCATCGCCGCTGCTCCGTTTCAGCGATTACTCCAGCAGCAGCAAATTGCAGAGTGCTGAGTGAGTGGGTGAGACTATCAGAGCCGTGAAGAGGCTGATTTGTATTCAGAGAGGGACTTGTGTCATGGCTTGTTTGTGGTGTGTTTTCCCCAGGTTGGTTCAGAAAATATCATCTTCTCAAAAGGTGATGCCCTGAGCTTGCTTAGACACAAACACTCGACAGTGTCTCATTAAGAAATCCAATTGGGAATTCCGGAGAAACTCCTTAACCCAGACAGCAGTCAGAATGTGAAACTAGTTCCCACAGGGAGAAGCCAGATGAAAGCTGGGATTTCGCACAATTAAACACCCGAGGAGACACGGCTGGGGCACTGTGAACAGAAATGTAACACCAACCCACGGGAGGTGTCATAGATTCATAGTGTCCTTACAGTGTGGAAGAGTCCACATGGACCCTCCAAAGAGCATCCTATCCAGACTCACCCCTATCCCTATGACCCTGCAATTACTGTGGCTAATCCACCCTAACTTACACGTCTTTGTGATTGTGGGAAGAAACCAGAGCATCTGGAGGAAACCCACGCACCTACTGGGACAACGTGCAGTTGCTCAAGGGTGGAATTGAACTGGTGTCCTTGCGCTGCAAGGCGGCAGTCCTGACCACTGGGCCACCGTGACCAAGTGACCAAAAGTTCCATTGTATGAAGCATCTATAAGCCACCCCCACCTTCTGCACCTGACCCCACCCCCACCCCAGTTCATGGGACAGCAGAACCTCCCTTGGTGCCACACATGATGTGCCAGCCCAGTTGATGTGCTTGGGATGAGGGCAGGGGTTTCGTTCAGAAGGGCAATTCTGGTCCTGTCAGACCAGTGGGGAACCTGTACAGTGTGATGTGCTTTGAGGAATGCTATAAATAATTGTCTCACTGAATGTACTGTTCTCTTTCCTTCCCCTCTCCCCATCCGCACACTGATTGCAGTCTAATGTTGCAGCCTCAAATGCCAAGCTGGCCTTGTTTTATGATTGGCTATTCTTCAATCCGGAGAAAGACAGCATCATGAACATAGGTGAGAACTCTGTGCGTTCATCATTTTCAGACCCCTCCTCTACGTGCGCACTCTCTCTCCCTGGAAGATATTTCTGTGTTGCTGTATCTCCCTTCACTGTCCAGCCTCGACACTGTTCGCCGTGTGTAAGGCACAAGGCTATTTGACCATGAAGCTCATCACAGTGAAGCCTCATTCTCGCATCCTTGCATGCATTGGGAGCTTTCATCTCAGACAATTCAAGAGATCCTCAATATTTCCATTGAGCCTGATCTAACACTGGTCTCCATACAGAGTAAAGCTCCCAAGGACAGGGACAGCACAGGCTTAGCTACAGAGTAAAGCCTCCTTTATACTGTCCCCAATCAAATGCACTTAAGGTGAGAGGAGAGAAATTTTAAAAAAAGACTTGGGGATCAAATTCTTTAGACAGAGTGTAGTTTGTGTGTGGAATTACCTTCCTGAGGAAGTGCTCCGCAACCCCCCCCCCCCAAAATCAAATGCTCCCAGGACAGGGACAGCACAGGGTTAGATACAGCGTAAAGTGTCCTCTGCGTTGTCCATATTTAATTTCCCTGGACAGAGAGAACAAAATTTTGTTGGAACAGTTGAGTTAGATAATTTTGCTGTTGACCTTTTTTCTGCTTTCAGAGCCAGCCATCCTTGTTATGCATCATTCCATGAAGCCCCATCCAGCAATTACTGCCACTCTGCTAGACTTCATTTGTCGGGTAAGTGCTGCCCACACTTGCTATTATCTCCACGTCTCTCAGGCGTGGGATTTGTGGCTCGAGCTGTGTCCTTGAGGCGCTGCTTCACGCTTACCAACAGTAACATCGTTAAAAGCCACAATTGATTCTGCATCGCCCAGAGAAATTAGGATGGGCAGGTCAGCTCAGGAGGTAGTAACATTCGGCAACTCTCCTAGACCTGATCTTTGTAATTTTCTTCCTTGTCTTGCTATCTCTGTGGTTGTCTTCTCCAAAGAGCGAGAGTGAGAGAAGACTAAACCACAGTGATAGCAAAACAAGGAAGAAAGTTGTTCTCATGCTCTCTGCCTATCCTCTCTCCTGATTTCACCTCCATATTCATCATTCCCTGCCAACTGCCATGCACTCTGTCCATTCCTGCCTCTTTCCCTTCCTCCCCCTTTTTACCTCCTTCACTTCACTTCACTTTACTTTTCACCTTTTCTGCCTGTCTCTTCCCTTTCTTCCAGTTACCCTTCTCTAGCCATCTCTTCCTTCCTCCATTTCCTTTGCTTGCTTGGGCGTGTCTGTCTGAAGTGATGCATTCGGTGGGGAGTCTATCACCGCTCCTGACTCCTGGAGTCGATGTTGGACTCTCCCTCGCTAACCCTGCACGTATTCTCTTCCACAGATTATTCCTCACTTTTATCCACCGCTGGAGTCCCATGTGCGGCAGGGTGTGTTCAACTCACTGAACCACATTGTGGAAAAGCGAGTCCTGGCGTGAGTACGCACCCATCTCAGGGAGACTGTTCACCTTGACGTGTGTGTGCGTGTCTGAAGGCTGTTTCTGCACATGTGCATGACTGGGTGGTGACGTGTGTGCTGTGCTGTCTGAGTATTGAGTTTGTCAGCTCCAACGAAACTCCAATCAACGTGACCCTTTTCCAGGGCAGAGTGTGCTGGATTGGCAGCTCATCCGCCACCTTTAACATGCCACCCTGCCACCAAAGGGCACAGTGGAAACTTCTACATGACTGCAACTTGCCCTCCAAACCCATGACTAATACCCTCTTGTAGAAGGTAACAGGTACTTAGAATGTCGTACCCTGCTAGTTCTCCTCCAAGCCATTTGCCATTCGCCATTCTATTTCGGAAAGATCTCGGCCATTCCTTCATTGTCACTGGGTCAAAGTCCTGGAACTCGTTCTTCAAGAGCACTAACCAAAGGAACCTCTGGGGGTTATTGACCTGGAGGAGGTTACAAAGAGAGGCAATGGAACAATTTTAAAAAGTGTGTGTGGATTCTAAAATTGAATTGCTCCCGAAACAGGAACCAGCATAGGTCAGTTTGCTCAGGGTAATGGGCGAATAGGGAAATAGAAACATGCGCCCCGAGAATGGGGTGGGGGGGTGGGGTGGTGTCTCGCTCCTATGGGGAATAGAGGGTACAGTGGGAGACTTTGAGCGATGGGGAGAATGAATAACAGGATGTACTGAGGGTGAAATCTGACTAAACAGACGAAGGCAGAAGGAATAGGATAAGGTGATTATTGGGGTGGGTGGGGGGTGATGATAATGAGTCGGCAGGAATCTCATGTGGAGCAGGAACCCCAGTCTGGAGCAGACAGGCCAATTGCCTGTTGGTTTGGTGTATAGATACTGCTCAAAGTTGGCTCATACAGCCCGGCTTTAGAGATTTGCTCAGGTCGAGTGTTTGTATATTTGAGGCTGAGATGGATTGATTTTGTACTGACCAAGAATCTAGGCTTATAGGGAAAAGGCCAGCAAATGGAGATGAGGATTATCAGATCAGTCAGGATCTCAGTGAATGGTGGAGTGGACCCCATTGGGCCATAAGACCACTGGAAAAACAGCAGGAGTAGGCCATTCAGCCCCTTGGGCCTGCTCTGCCATTCAATGTGATTTGTGGCTGATCATCTAACTCAGTCCCCTGTTCCCACTTTCTCCCCTTTTAACTTTGCTTCCTTTAGCACTAAGAATTAAACCAAATTACTCTTTGAAATAGGAACAGGAGGAGGTGTTTGCACGTCCCCTGCCCTTCTGTTCCCATACTTAACAGCATCATGACAGACTGGCCTTTTTGCCCCATGTCCTATAACAAGTGTGTGGAGGAAAATCTTATCGATCTGCATTGGAAAATGCACCATTGGCTTATCATCAGTTGGCTTTGATGGAAAAGATTTCCAACCTTCAACACCCACCCTCCCTCCCTCCCTGTGAAGAAGGATGTAGCGTAGGCAGTGGCATCGTCTGAGAGGCACTTGGAATGGCCAAGATATCTGTGAATTGGGATGACGAGTGGCTTGGAGGGGAACTTGCAGGGTATGGTGTTCCTCTTCAGTACCTTTGACATCTCTTAGCAGCGCCTCAGGGTGACTGGGCTGTTGCGTGTGAGGTTGTTGTTTTTGTAGAACCTTGTGCTGATTTCCTGTGTCTACCCCCTCAAAACAAAAAAAACCTGTCTTGGTTCTCAGGCCCCTGGCACCTCTGTTCGACAACCCAAAACTGGACAAGGAGCTGCGTGCCATGATCCGGGAGAAGTTTCCGGAATTCTGTAGTTCGCCATCACCACCGGTAGAAGGTAAGCAACTCTGTTTATTTCAGAGAAAAGACTTTGCATTGTTGCAGGCCTTTACTAGACCTCGATTTGTCCTGAAGCACCCTCCTCCTAACAGAGGGAGTCATTTGGAATTTGGTCACTGCTGATACATGTCAGCCGTGATCTAGATTATCCAAGTTAGTTCAGCTGCTTGAGGAAGAAATGTGAGCACTCACCAGCTCTTCTTCAAAACGGATGCTGGGGCAGCCTTTGTGGCAATCTGAGGGAACAGATTCCTGACAGTAACACCCCCTTAGCACCAGTTCTCCATCTGCATGTGGCCCCCTCGGCACTACACTGGGACTGTCAGCCAGAGAAAATAACCTCAACTACAAAGAGCTGTGAATACAGCCCACTCCATCTCACACACCAGCCTTCCATCCATGGGCTCCATGTATGCTTCTCGCTGCCTCAGGAAGGCAGCCAACATCATCAAAGAACACCCCCCCACCCCCCCCCCCTCCCCCCCCCCCCCAACTTGGCTACACTCTCTCCCAACCTCTTCCACCAGGCAGAAGATACAAACGCTTAAACGCACACACCAACAGGTTCAAGAACAGCCTCCCTGCTGTTAAAAGACTTCTGGATGGACGTCTCTGATTTCAAATCTAATATTGATCTCTGTCTGTGCACTGTCTCTGCAGCCAAAACTTGCTCTGTTCTATCACACTTCGTGTGGTATGCTCTGTCTGTACCACACACAAGTGAAAACCTTTCATTGCACCTAGGTACGTGTGACAACAGTAAATCAACAATAAGTTCTGGGGTGGGATTCGAGCCCGTGCCTCGGAGATGAGAGAGATAGGGCTAGGATGGGAATTCAGATCATTGGAAAATGAATATCGACCCCAGTAGTGACGCAGCACTCTGGGATGCCCACAGGGGCGCTTTCGGAATGCGTGTGTTGCTTCCCAGTGACGGGAGGGAGATGTTTAGCAAGCACTGGGAATGCTTTTGCTCCTGCAGCTCAGAGAGCAGTTCCATTGAGGATGTCAGTGTGTGCCGGCGGGTCTGATAGTGTAGAGCGCTGCTGTTACATGCTGCTTCATTGTAACGATGGAAGTCCTTCGCAGATTTCTCAGCACCCAGAGATAACTCTTTGTGTTGCTGTCGTGTTTGGCTGCCAAGCCACGTCTCTCTAGCTCTCTCGCGCGCTCTCTCTCGCGCGCTCGTTCTCGCTTTCTCTCCCTCTCTCTGTCTGTCTGCATCGTTTGACATTTTGAATTGAAATGCTTATTTCTGCTCCTCCCCTCTGGTTCCATCCCTTTTGAACCCATCACTAAGCGCTCCTTTGAAATCCAAGCAGGAATGCAAGCTAGTGTTTTCACTTTGTGTTTTAAAGACGTCACAAATGTTCCTTGTGAATGGATATGGGGCGGGAGGAGAAAAAGTAAAATTTAAGAGCCTTTCTTAGCTGGAAGTGAGTTAGGTTTGTGTTACCTGTGTTAAACTCTGATATCAATGAGAAGATCAGTAGCTCTCTGAAACCCTGGCTTTCCCATCCCCTCAAGTCGGTGCTGGGGAATGGCTCGGTTAGCCAGCCAGCCTCCCTCCCTCCCCTCTGTCTCACGATACCAACCTTGCATTTCATCATGCCTATCACAACCTCATGGGAATGTGTTGTCTTCCTTATGTCGTCCAGTCACTGTTCCAGTAACGCTGGTGACCCAGTTTGCCCACAGAGATCTCCCTCAAACCACTGATCTGCATGAGAAATGGGAGCTGAGGGGACCAGGCAGGGCTGTGGTTAAATGTCTCCCATCTGCATGTCCATCGGCAAGGGCCTAGATTTTGCTGTGCTTTAACCCAGCCTGTTACCTCTTGGATGAGCGTGCCAAAGAAACAGAGCTGACACAGTGTGAGCTGGATGGAAACCAAATTGGGGGAGCACCCAGAGGAAGTGGGTTGAGGTGGGATAGGCAGCCCAAAGCACCCGCAACCTCAGATTTCTCTTTCTCCAGTCATCTTGCTGAAAGGCAATGGGAGCTGAGTTGAAAAGTTTTGAGGCAGAAGTAGACAGATTCTGGATAAGTCGGGATGGTGAGGGGGTGAAGCGTTCTCGGGGAACGTAGATTTCGGGTTGCAGTCAGATCAGCCTCGATCTTAGTAAATGGTGGAGTAGATTTAAGGGCTGAATGGCCTCCCTCCTGTCTAACATCCTTTACACACCTCCGCCTCTCACAGCCAACGCTTCATAATGCATCTCCTCCTCTGACCCTGTCAAGAATGACGTTGGTATATAAACAGAACACGCTGAGAGTAGCATTGTCTGATGGAAGGGCAGTGACCTGTAAATTTCACTTGCTTTCCTCACAACTGCTGAGTAATTCCAGTACAGGCCATACTTTGCTGGTGTCACTTATTTACCTCGATATCCACTCATTGGACCAGCAGCCTGTGCTCACGGTGGTCGCTGGAAGTTGCACATTCATCGCATCCAGTTGATGCAGTCTCAGTCCTTGCTCTGTTGTCTCATCACTTTGCTGTTCCTGATTTTTTTAAAAAAAAAACCCTGATCATAGTTCTCCAGGAGAAGGCCCGAGTGGGTTTGTCAGTCCGGTTAGAGTGTTGTTCCCAGTGTAAATCTGCCCACATTGTGAGCATTGACCTGTTGAGGTCAGACCATGAGATAGGTGCAGAACTAGGCCATTCGGCCCATTCACTCCTCCATTCGGTGAGATAGTGGCAGGTCTGATAAACCTCAGATTCACTTTCCTGCCTTCTCCCCACAACCCTTTATTCCCTTATTAATTAAAAATCTCTGTCCTAGCCTTGACAGCCCTCCGCGGTAAAGAATCTCACAGATTCACTCCCTTGGAGAGAAGTTGTTCCTCCTCATCTCGGTCTTCAGTGAGCGACCCTTCATCTGAGATGATGCCCCTCTGGTCCTACATTCCCCCACACAAGGGGAAGCAACCTCTCCACATCTCCCCTGTCAAATTTGATGAGAATCTTGTATGTTTAGATAACATCTGTTCTCATTCTTCTAAACTCCAATGAGTACAGTCCCAACCCACACACCTCTCCTGGTGAGCGTGTCCCTCCAACAGCAGATGGAGCTGAAGGAGATTTACAGCATGGCCAATCGCCAAGGTCCTGGTGCTTACAGTGACAGTGTGTTCTCTAGTGTATTCTCTTTTAAATATATTATCTTTCTTCCGTGCTAGTGAAAATTGAAGAATCTGTTGCTGTTGATATGGATAATCATGTCACTGACAAGGAGCAGGAGGAGAATTGTTATGACAATACAGATGCTGCCTTCAGCGATGATGAGGAAGAGATGAACAATAAAGGTGAGTGGGACAGGAGGTGCCTTCTCTTTGGCTTACAGCAGGCATGGATCTGCAGGACTGACTGGAACGCGTGCTTTCGGTTTATGGTGTTCGGCCATTTCCAACAATGTTTGTGTTGCAATTATTCCAGCTCGCGCTTCCAAATTTTTTTAGTGAATTCTGATTTTGTTACCTGCTGCATTAGGATTTGATCGCACGTTCCCTGAGCATTTCCCCACTGCCCTGGATTGCTAACCCTCTGACATTACCACTCCACCATCGGGATATAGTCAGTTGCATCCTTCAATCCTGTCAGTTTACATTGGGCTGGACTTAGTCTGGTTCTTCAAAGGCCTTGCTTGATGACCACCGTGGACGCATTGGGCCAAAGGGCCTTTTCCTGTGCTGTTTGAAGGGTGGGAAAGAAAAAGCAGCTCTGACTTCGTGTCCTCCGTTCTCTTTCAGGGAAGAAACGAGAGTTTCGATTTCATCCAATCAAAGAAGCGATTGTTGAGGAGCCCGTCGACATCACACCCTACCTGGACCAATTAGATGACGTGCTGAAGGAGAAAGTGTTACTTATTCAGAAAGGACGGTACGGGCATGAAAGGAGCTAATGCTCCATTTATAATAATTTCCTGTCACTGCCTTCTGTCGAGGCTGTGGTCTTTGTTTGGTTCCTCGAAACCCCTCTGCCTGACCAGTTACCACATCCGGTGGTGGTGGAGGGGATGGGTGCCCCCATCGTTCCTGGGTTTGTGGGGGAGGGGGTTAAATATCAAACACTGCTTCCACTTGTAGTGAGTGTCCTGGGGACTGTGCCCCGTCGTGGCTTCGGCTGGCAGCCCACGACCACTCAAGCAGCCTACTGGTGCCTGCTGTTCCTGGGGCAGCCCTGGGCGAATGGTCACTCTGTGACCCTTGACATCTGTGGGCTTTCTGCCTCCCACCCCCACCCAGCGAAGAGTTGCCGTTTCTTGGGGAGGAGCGCGAGAAATGTTACAACAAATAAAAACATTTATGCAGTGCCTTTCGGCTGAGAGGAACTCTCCCACTCCTCGAAATGCTGCCCCGGGATCCCAGTAGACCAGGGCAGAGCCTCTATTCAACAGCTCTGTTCTGGGAGGCAGCATTGTGCCGTACAAAATGGGAGCAGGGGAAGGCTATTCACCCCTTCAGGTCTGCTCCACTAAAACCGTAAGATCATGGCCTTGAATCCACCTTGCTGCCTGTCCCTCGGGAACCCCCTACTCTCTTGTCAATCGGAGCTGGAACTCCACCTTGACGGTGTTGGGTGTCCCAGCCTCTGCAGCTCACTGATAACTCATTCCTCCTCATCACCATTGTAACTGGGAGACTGCAGGTTGGTGTACTGCGGCCCCTCGTTCAGGACACAGACCCCCTCTTCCCCCCCCCCCCCCCCCCCACAACATCCTCTCAGCACCTACCCTGCCCTTCCCCTCTCCCCGGCCCTGTATCACTAAGACCACCGCTCATTCTTCTAAACTCTGGTGTGTCAAGCTGCTCAACCGTTCCTAGTAACTCAACCCCTTCATCCCAGCAATCAAACTTAGGAATTTCTCCTTTTTGAAAGTTCCAATTGAATCATCTTCCATTGAGAGAGCACATTATAGATTGTGTGGTTCTGTCTCGATTGCTCAGGGTCACAGAAAACATGGAGACCCCACGGGGCAAGGCCGGGGGGTGGGTGGTGGTTTATCGATGCCTGAGGTGAGGCTGAAAGCACCCGGTGCGTTGGCTTGGGTGGTGACACTGATCTTTTTCTCGCCTCCCCTCTCATACCACCCACCCATCTTCATCCCCACCACCACCCACCCCACCCACAGAGGGAAGGACCATGACACCTACCAGACGTAAGCCAACTGCCCTTTGCACCTGGTAGTCTGTTTCTCTTGTGTTGTACGGTTAGCCTGACCCCCAGCACCCTACCGTTCCCCTCTCGTCGCCAGCCTTGGAACAACAGGTCACATTCCCAGGGCAGAACACACTGGGGTGGGTTAGATCCACTGGGACAAGGAGGGGCTGGGGGGTTCTCCATGCTGGAACCATGGAGTCCTGGTGCAGGTTGCAGTGGGACTGACTCTGTAAGAATCCCACCACCGCCCTAGCTGGAGGCAGGAACTGAAGGCCTGGGGTTTGGATGAGGAATTTCACCAGCTTGTGGAGCTGTTTATACAGTCATAGAGTCATACAGCATGGAAACAGACCCTTTAGCCCAACTTGTCCACACCAACTAGACATCCCGATCTGACCAAAGCTCATTTGGCGCATATCCCTCTAAACCCTTCCTATTCATGTACCCATCCAGATGCCGATTAAATGTTGTAATTGTACCAGCCTCCACCACTTCCACTGACCATTCGTTCTATACACGCACCACCCTCTGCATGAAAATGTTGCCCCTGGCCCCTTGGGTCCCTTTTTTTAAATCCTTTCCCCTCTCGCCTCAAACCTATGCCCCTCTTGTTTTGGACTCCCCTACCCTGGGGGAAAGTCTTTGTCTATTGACCAATCCATGCACTTCATAATTTTATAAACTTCTATAAGGTCACCCCTCAGCCTCCGACGCTCCAAGGAAAATAGCCCCAGCCTATTAAGCCTCTCCCTGCATCTCAAACTCTCCAACCCCGGCACCATCCTTGTAAATCATTTCTGCACTGTCTCTAGTTCAACAACATCCTTCCTACAGTGAGGAGACTAGAATTGAGCACAGTATTCCAAACATGGCCTCGCCAGTGTCCTGTACAGCCCCAATATGACCTCCCAACTCCTATACTTAATGCACTGACCAAGCGTACCAAACGCTGCCTTCGCCACCCTGTCTACCAGCGACTCCACTTTCAACAAACTATGTACCTGCACCCGCTAGGTCCCCGAGTTCTGTTTCTGGGATCTTCCTGAGCTGCATATTCAGCAGCAGCCTCGTCAATGGAGATGTGAGTTGGGCAGTTTGAGATGCTGTCTCCGACCATGAACGCGCGCGCGCACACACACACACACACACACCCCTTATTAGATTGTAGTCTGCAGCTTTAACTCCTTGGCGTTGTTATCCAGATAACTGCCGCCTCTTGGCTTACTTGACTCGGTTCTCTGGGATGTTGTGTGAAGCATGGTTGTGCCTTTGTCTGCATTTGTAGCTGTTGGAATTTGGGAATGTGCTCTTTATTTTGGATGAAGGATGCGGCAGGAAGATTCCGCGCTCCATCACAAAAACGTGGAGAGAATCCCCCTCCTGCCCGACCTGCAGTTAGCCTCAACGTGCAGACAGTACCAGTCTGTACCCGCAGGTGCCCTACAACTGAGCCACACCTGCCCGCTGTTGGGTGAGGCAGTGTCGCACTCGCCTGTGCACCTCTGCAAGTGAATAGCTCATGGTCCAGCACGCCGTTGCCCTACCCTGCTCTGCCAGGTTTTGGTACGGGGAGGAGGAATGGTGTCAGGCGAGGGGAGAGAGATAGGTGATTAATTGTGCTCATCGACGGACCACTAACTTCGCGTGCGCTTTGATTTTGGGAATGCCACTGTCATGAGGATTCTAGAAGAGGTTAACCCTGCCTGAAAAAGGAGGATAACTGTAGCTGTTGTTGGTTATGCAGCCAAGATCCTCTGCGGGTGAAATTGAATTTCAGTGTGCTCCAGGCCAGGGCAAGAGTTGAATTTCTGAAGCTGGGGTAGGGTTCAGAACTCTCCTTTTGATACCGTGCTGTCCTCTGCAACTTGCTGTCTTGAATCCAAGAGCTTGTGGCTTACACTTATGCTTTTCCTCCTTCTTCCCTTTCAGAGACACGGAGACTCAGTGTGAAATTATGCAGGAAATTGTGGACATGATACTGGAGGTAAGCGTCTGACGCAACAACACAGGCTCGGCTTCTCAAAATTTTACTATTTGTGATGGACCAGGCCAGCCCCCTCAAAATATTTTAAGAAGGTAGCCTTGACCCTAACTTTTTCTTATTTAAAGGTAGATGTGAAATGCCCGTGTTCCCAATGCAATACGACTGGTCAAACTACTTGGTGTTAAACAAAACATATTGAAACACTGTCGTTAAAATTCAACCAAAGAAAGAGGAACAAAAACAAAGTTGCTGGAAAAGCTCAGCAGGTCTGGAAGCATCTGTGAAGGAAAAAAGTTAACATTTCTGGTCCGGTGACCCTTCCTCAGAACTCAAAGAAAGAGAAATTTAGCATAACTTAGTTATTGGAAAACTTAATAGTTACGGAATCTATTATTTTATTACTAATGAACTATTCCAATATAGTCACATCCCAAAAACACACCATTTGGCAAAAAGGCCAAGTCAGAAAACAGATTTTGTCTCGTGCAATCTAGCAGCCTAGGGGGAGAGCAAGCAGGTTTGGTTGTAGTCGAGAAAGGGGAAAAAAAGCTTCCAATTCTTCTCAATGGCAACTGCTTAGAGCTAAACCTAAAAACGAAAGAAACTAGAAATCCTGGTTCTGAGAGAGCTGGCCACACCCAGCCAGGCTGCTTCTATTGTTCCAACATTTTTTTAAAAAAAACACCCCAAGCGCGCTCAAGCTGTTTACTCTCATGGTTTTGGTAGATTGCTCAGTACCGCTGCCTTACAACCGCTCTTCAAAAAGAAACAGGATAAAATAACCCCTTTAAAGCCACAGCATCGTCATAAATCCGAGACCTTTGCAGGTTCCCATTCGCTGTGTGCGTGAAATTTTGAGACCAGTTTTTACACCAAAATTGAAGGATTTTGCTGTTTTTGAGGTGTGAGATGTATTCTTGATTTAAGACCACATATAAGGTCTAAGAGGAGTTGACCGGGTCAGTTGGTGAGAGGATGTTTTAAAAATTAGAGGCTGCCCATTTAAGATGGATTTTTCCCCCCTGGTGCTTGTTGTTCTGTGGAATTCTCTTCCCCAGGGAGCAGCTGGAGGCTGTGCCAATATCTATTCGGGGCTGAGTGAGGCAGGTTTTTGGACGGCTGAGGGCGTTATCAGGGCCAGATAGGAAAGTGGAATCGAGGCCATGCTCAGGCTGTGATCCTACTGAAGAGAGCAGCAGGCCTGAGGGACCGAATGGCTTGCTGTGAACAGGTATATTTGGTTGTGGTTGTGCCTCCTTACAGACTGCTGTTTGTCCTTGATGTCGGCATAATTGCGATTCAGACCTTTCCCTGGGGTGTGTGACGGAGGAAGGTAGCACAGGACAGCCAATATCCTTTAGACTGTTGAAGCGAAGTCTGTGTTGTAGGCCAGGTATGCAAAATTACAAACTTTTAAGTCAAGTTTTAAGAGTGGATTTTGAGATGAGGTCAGCCTTTACACTGGTATAGATGGCATTGCCAACCATGTTCACAAAGGTGCCCTGGGCAAGGCAAGATTATTCTGACAGAGTCATATCGGAGTTAATGTTAACTCATTTCTTTCTCCCCTTGGATGGTGCCAACGTTCCCTCTGTTCTCCTTTCAGGCTGCGCAGGTCTCCGAGATCCGTGCATGGCATAGACTTCGGGAATCCGGAATCAATACCAGTATTGGTGTGCTGGCAATGATTGCCGAGCACACAACATCAGAGTGGCTGTATTCCTTTTCTCTTTATTCAGTCACGGGATGAGGGTGTCGTTGGCTAGGCCAGCATTTATTGCCTCGTCTCTAATTGCCCAGAGGACAGTTAAGATTCAGCCACGTTGCTGTGGGTCTGGGATTACCTGTAGACTAGCCCAGATGAGGATGGCAGTTCCCTTCCCTAAAGGAGATTAGTGAACCAGATTGGTTGTTTTCCCGAAAATGAACAATGGATTCATGGTCATCGTTTAATTCCAGAATTTTTTTTTTTAAATGAATTCAAATTCCACCATCTGCTGTGGCAGGATTCAAACCCAGGACCCTAGAACATTATCTGGGTCTCTGGATTAACAGTCCAGCAATAATACCACTAGGCCATCTCCTCCCCTGTGCACACAAGTTAGAGAGAACGGTGCTGGCAGACCGGAGTTTCTCCAGCACTTTGTTTTCATTTCAGATCTCCTGCATCTGCAGTAGTTTGGTTTTATAAACTTACACGTAGGTCATTCTCCCTGGAATTTTCCTCCCACAGTCCAAAGATGTGCAGGCTAGGTGGATTGGCCATGCTAAATTGACCGTAGTGTTCAGGGATGTGTCAATTAGGTGGGTTATAGGGGGATAGGTCTGGGTAGGATGCTTTGAGGGTCAGTGTGGACTTGTTGGGCTAAAGGGCTGTTTCCACACTGTAGGGATTCTATGAAGAATATTCCTATGAAAAGGAGTGATTTGATCCAAAGCTTTCATCTGAGGTTGGGTGATGCTAACCATGTTGAATGGTTTGATGGAGTAAATAGAGGAGCTGTTTGCTGTGGCTTCAGGGTCAGTAACCAGCAGCTGGGAGTGGGGACAGTTTTAAGGTGATTGGTTTTCTGTGGGGTGAGACCCTCCTCTGAGGTTGATGTTAAACCAGTCTGGGCAGGAAGGGGTCCGAGTGAGAGCAGGGAAAAAGATGCTGCTTCCAATTAAATGTGATTCTCCAAGGACCCGAACCACAGCCTCCTCTCAGCAGCAGCTAATTAACTGTGGAGAGTTTAATCTGTCACACTTCACAGCCTGCTGATGAAGGAGACTGTCTTTGCTCTCTCCTGCAAATGTTGTTGTGCAAAGTCTTTGAAGCCGATTGAAACCTAGATTGCAGTGTAAGGGAGGAGAGGGGGGTGCTCACTGGGTGTGGGGACATTATCACTGCAGGTAGCAGCCTCTTCTGCCTCCCTCCCTCT